ATAAAATGGTAATATATGATGAGTACTTAGTAATCAAGGTGATACTAGATAATGATGTATTATTTTAAGTACCACTTCTTGCTACTTTATTAATGTCTTTCTATATGTATATATAGTTGAATATAGTTTTTAGTTGAATTTACAGTTTTTGTTGAATTTACAGTTTTTAGCAGCATGAGAATTAATCCATGTTTACCCTCATAAATGGAAACCCCTTTCTTAGAAAGACTTAACAGCAGATGGCCACTTAGACACTGAATTGTTTAGTAGCGCTGGCACTGAAGTCAGATAATGCTGGATTAGGCAATACTGTCACCATGCAACTATAATATACTGGCTTTGTAGACAGTGGCAGAATTAGAAGGACTAGATCCTTCCTTAGGAAATACACACTAGGGTTTTTTTTCCACAGATGACACTATGTTAATTTAGAATACTTGGGGCTGTGGCCAATGTATTCCATTAGAGAACTAGTGCAAAACTGCAGTGCCACCTTTGTCATGATACACACAAATATAACAAAAATTTTACTTGATGAATTTCAGAGGACAAGGACTATCCGAGCCTGTCCTTGATATAATCATGACATATAATGTTTCATAGAAACTAAATTGATTTTATAAGTGGGGAAGACTTATTTGTAATGTTTGCTGTTTAAGCTACAGTTCTAGAAGTCATATGATTGAAGCACTAAATTCCATCTGGGAACTGAGATCTGTAAAGTCACTATAACTAAGAGTTACACTAATCCAACAGCCTCACGGTGGGTTACCCAACATAGTTCTGGCCTTGGAATCATATATAGTCTTTTCAGTAGTTCCATATAGGATGAGAGATAGGGGCTCTTGTGAGAGACTGGATTCATATCTCGCTGGACTGTTTAATTGGGCTCCATTTTGCCTCCTCCCCTAGGACCTGCCATTGTTGTGTGACCCTTTTGTGGTAGCTATACAATTTTCTTATTCTAACATCTTTCCTTACTCCTTCTTTCTTCTCTTAATCTCTTCCTTTCTTTGCTCTTTGTGGGTAACTTAAAAATGATGGGTTACTCCTGTGAACCTTTTGCCAAAATGCTTTTTTTTCTCCTCACTAAATTAAAAGAAGTCTCTTGGGAAACATGTATAGCATGTTCTCTTTACATGAATTCAAGGTATTAAAGAACTAAAAGGCTCTGCAAGAATCTGTTGGGAACTCTTGGAGTCTTAAATATAAATAAAATGCCTGGACAGCTTGTGGCTTGGGCCTGGGGCTTTACAGCTCTCTAACCAACCTCTTTCTCCTGATATATGGGTTTTCTTGCACATTTTGGTAGGGCATGTATGATCAGGCAGTCTGAAAACCAGGTTGTCAGACAAGATGGACCACACATCTCATTTAGCATAGTAATTCCTGTGCTCCTGCAGTTAGTTGCTATGGGAAATAATAGTTATAATATAATCCAATACTCTTACTAGCAGGATGCAATCTAGGAATTGGAATTTTAGAGTTTTGTTTAAAATGAAGAGCATGTTAAAAGTCATATTGGTTATTTTAATCCAGTCTTCCTCTTTGTCTATAGTTTACCTGGCAGAAAAGGAACAAAGGCATTGATCTACTATTAACTAAATATACTGAAGCATACTTTGTACTAACCATTTGAATAGGAAATGGAAGAATACTTTAAAATAACATTTGCTCCATGATATTACCATGCTCCATGATATTACCATAGTAATTAAGAGTTTGGTCTGAATGCTTTGCTTTTGTACTTGTATTTTCACACAGAAAAGGGACATTACCTACTGGTGTTAAGAAAACTGATAATTAATTTGCATTTTGTAAAGTCCCATTAACTAGAACATATTTACAAAATGAGACGCATCAAACAAAGAACATAGCAATTTAAAATTAAAGAAAACTATGATTAAATACACCGTAGAAATGGTTCATTTAAATCTATGTTTTAAAAAATAATAATACTACACAGTCTTTAAAAGCCTAACTAAAGAAAAAGGTGTCCAGATAGCTCAACCGCTTTGAGTAGGATGTTGAAGTATATGTCTATTTATGTTCTTTCAAATACAGCTTGGGTTAGTGGCAAAAGGAGGTTGTTTCAAGGCTGTGATTTGACTGCAGTAGTAAAATGCACCTTTGATCTTCAGAAAGTTGCAGTTGTTTGAGTATTATAAAATTTATTTCTAATGGCAATGAATTGGCTGCTTTGGTAACGGTGATGGGAAGTTGCCATGAAGATAAAATATAACTAAGAGGCCTTGAACAAGCATCTCTCTGATGGACCAAATCTGAAGATGTATCTGTGCTATGGTTTCTATGTTATATCTCTGGTGTCACAGTAAAGCTTCCTGTCAACTAATCTTGATACATTTCATGTTCTGAACCCTATTAAACATGTAAAACACAACCTACTTATAATTATGAATCACATAATTATACACTGGCTTAAGTAATTAATATTGGTGGTAAAACTGACAATAGACTTAAATGGTAACAATTTCTGTAATTTCAATTAGGATTGTGTTTTGTCCCGGGGCCCCCTGGTGGTCTAGTGGTTAGGATGCGACGCTCTCACCGCTGCGGCCCGGGTTCGATTCCCGGTCAGGGGACTTCCCCGGGCAGATGGAGCTCGTCAGCCCTGTAAGGCCATCCATCTAAGAGAAGGTCACTCTAAACAAACCTAGGTCCTGAGGTCCTCGCTGCCACCGTCCAAGCTCGCTCGGCCCCGACAGATGAACCTCAGGATTAAAGGGTGGGCTCAGTTCAGCGCACACTGTGTCTCACCAAAAAAGTCCACTGTGCAGGTTCGAAGGGTAAGAGACCTTTCCCAAATCTTTGTTCACGAAGACTGGCCATGAAAAGTATTTTATCCCATCCTATGCAGGATACAAATACAAAATGATCCTGGAGGCTTGGTTCTGCCTTAGGGACTTGACTCCACCACGAGTGTGACACAGCAGCAGGTTTTAAGGAGTGAAAGATGAGTGAACTCAATATGTCCATAGGTTGCTCCTCAGTGGAGAATAAAGTAAACAATATAGAATGGCTGTGCTGACTGAGTCTTAAGTAAATAAAAAGTAAGTAACTGTCCCTACTTCAGAGAGAATTCTGTCTTTTGCAAGCAAAGAGAAATTCCATCACTGTAATACAGCTTCTTGATTCATAAAGTTAGAGGGATTAGACAACTATACAAAACATGAAACTGTAATTGTCTCTGTGACGATCCCTGAACTACTAGAGCTGATACAGAGCAGCAGCAACTTAAACACTGTCAGAGAAAGGGTTGGCCTGTCACAGCTGAAGAACTCAAGTTCTTGATTCGTACATATGAAAGTAATTTTAAAGGTTTACTCAACATTCCTATGCATTTCTTTTTTCTGTATGTGTTTCATTAAATCCATGAGGGATGATTACCACACAGTCAAAATTAAGCTTTTCATAACAAAATGCATGAAATTTTATTCTTAACACCCATATTGCTTGATTTGAAAACTGATATGAAGCACATTTAAAAATACTTCTTTAGAATGCAGCTAGTATATATAGCATCAATGTTGCTGCTAGTGTAACACACTGTAGTAAATTTAATACATTAGCAGAAAAAAAATTATAGTAAGTGCATAACAGCTGTTAACAACTTTGAACAACTTACCATTTTAGGTTAAAATATTTGGAAATATTATCATTTGTAGCACTGTTGAGTATTAAGTGTAGCCCCATATATATATCTCCCTTTAGGACTCTTTGATACGACAATGCACCATGGAGTAGTAATAAAAAATTTATGTAATTTCAAAAAGTAATATTCATTACGGGTCAAACTTTTCTGGATATTAGAGAAGTGAGTTAACTATAAGTGCTTGTTTCAAACTAGATTTCACACTGGAAATAAAAAAGACGTTTGCCTTCCAGGTACTTACTGATTCCATTAGTCACGATGGATTTTTTGTGTTATAGAGATTCTTGGAAGATGAAAAATACTGATTGCTTTCCTTCTCTAATATAGCAATAGTTCATGTCTCAGAACTAGTTTTATTGTCAAAGTGAATAATATTTTAATATGTTTAGAGATGGCCTTACTCTTGATGAAAAAATGAAATGACTTTTGACATTAGGGTGTTTTGTTATCTGTTCCTTGAGTAGCATAAATATCATGTAATTTTGATAGTGAGCTTCAGGTGTGATTTCTGGAAACAAAATGCAAGTGAAAAAATGTTTTTAATGCATCACAGTTTGGATTTCTTTCTCTGTAAATAGTGACTGTGTGTTAGAGCAAAAGAATTGGGGTTTTCTATAGAGCTAATACTAAACTAAATACTGTATCAGAATGATGTCTAAATTAGTTTTAAAACTTATTCTTTAACATTGAAATGTTTACTACCTTATCATACAACACTGATTTCTAAGCCTGACCCCACTGAACAATCAGAGTATTTAAGGGAAGTTCTGAACGAGAGTAAGACAGTGCCCACTTTAAAGGTAAGTAACTTATAGTTTGATTTATTGTTCCTGTAAATGGCTGGTAAGTTTGTTGAATATTGTAATTTAAGTAAATTGGCTAAATGCTTAATGTACATAAATACAATGTTTTCCCAGAAATTATTTTCTCTCATTTTTTTAAATATTAATTATGACTATTGCTAACCAATTTCAGTGCTCTCTTAAAATTATTACAGTCTTTGCATTTCCTATTTTTCATCATGACATTTAAATTTTAAAAAAATGTTTAAAAGACATTCTCAGTCTGGGAGCATTTCACTGATTACAGAATTAAATGCTAGTGAATACTTTACATATCCGGTGCTCATATAAAACACTGCATAACTGTTCACAATGCTTTTATTTGTTGGGGTTTTTTGTTCAAAATGCTTTAGCTTTTTTGTTTTCTTTTATAAGACACTTAGATTTTTCATTGTTTTACTGCTATTAGTTATATATATATATAGAGATAGATAGATAGATAGATAGATAGATATAGATATCTATATATATCTCCATCATTGAACTTATTTGTAGGAATAAATTTATTGTTTATCCGGTTTTACACATCTGGCACTCTAGGTCTAAAGGGAAAATGATCTTGGACTCCATCTGCCTCTGTTCTTTTTGAACTATGGAGGAAAAATTAATCCGTGATCTGCAAAAATAAAAACACTTGTGGGTAAATTCTACATTTTATTTGCAAAGGGAAAATGTCAGTTGGAGAGTAAAAGAGGATAACTGAGGAGCTCAATTTCATGAACATAGAGATTTTAGGAGGGATATGGTGCTGTTGCTAGTTGAGCGGATTTTGTCTTTGATAAAGTACCTGTATTTCCAGGTTTTCAGACTGAACACGACTGTTGTAAAGCAGTGGCTATTTGAAGAAAGGAAATAGGATATGCTGTAAGAAAATGTGCTTGAGTATCTACTGTAAGGAGCTATCTGGCATTACATCTGTCCAATAACTTAGCTACTCAGCTCTCTGGGTTTGCTGGATGATTAAGCAATGGATTCTGAATGGAAGACTTAGCTCCTCTCTTAGACTTTGCATTTCATACTCCCTCATAAGCACAAAAAATTACCAGAACCCCGAAGAATCTATTGTATTCCTATCTTTCTTTTACTATAGCAGTTCATGCTAATATTTGCATTACTTAGAGTGCTTGGGGTTGAAATGGTACAAAAGCAGAGCAGTGATTTCAAAGCCAGAGATTAGTAAATTGTCTTGCTGTCAAAAACAAATCCAGAACTCAGTGAATAACACTGAATAACAGTGAATAACACAGAATGAATACTGAACATTTAGAACCCCAAAGGGTCTTTAGTGCAACAATATCATGTCCCCTGTTTAGGTATTTGCTCTAAGCAGGCTCTGTTGTGGTGCCTCTTCGTGCAGTGTGAGGAAGCTGGGTGTCTGATACACAAGATACAAAACGAGCTGAAGAGCAGTGTAACCAGTAGGGAGGTTACACCTCCCAAACCAGGAGGTTTGGGCATCTTATACAATACTTCCTGGCAATTCCTTCCTTTAATTGGGATTTTCAGTACTGAGTCTCCTATTTTCTTTAAGAAGTGAGCATGTCAAAGAGAGAAGTAGAGACATACTTTGAAGTATGTCAAAGAGAGAAGGCAGGCAGGCAGGGTTCTTGACGCCTTCACCCTTTTCTTTTTTCCTTTTAAAAAGTCATGTTATGGGAAACAAAAAATCCTGAATGATCCTGTGAAATGCCTACTTTATAAATTTTTTTTAATAGAAGTCTCATTGCTCTTAAGGGAAGGGTATTTGTTTGTCTAAGTCAATTATTATATCAGCTGATCAGCAGTTCAGTGTATCATTGAAAATTTTGGTTTACAGACACTTCAGATGCATCATTTTTAATGGCATATTGTAACTTAGAGGCCTGTCCAGTTCAGCATAGACAGGTAATAAATTGCCTGAGTTTGTGTGAGCAGCGGATCCAGCAGACATATCAATGAAGCTTTTTTTAAAAATTTATTCAGTGATATAGCAAAGAAAACGGTTGAGCCAGGGAAAAAAAGAGAGAAAAAAACTTCTGAGGTAATCTGTGTTTTTATAAAAATGAAGAATAAGAAGTATAGAAAAGGGATTGTCCAAGAAAATCAGAAAGGAGAAGCTGCTTGTCTACAGTATTGTATTCAATTACCCTGATGTAAATCTGAGATTATTACACTGAAGTACTGTTTTAAGGGAGAAACTAATCTGGAAGGAAAGAACCCAAGACTGAATTCCTACAAAGCATTTTTTCTGTGAATGTGCTTTTCCATGTAACTAGGAAATGATGCAATCAGAATAAAAGCACAGGAAATATAAAACTAGGTAAGATAAAACAGAAGCTAAGCATTCACACTAAAAAAGGCTTTGAATGTACTTTGCATAATGCTGGGCCATATCCTTGCACCTGTAATTAGTCAGGATTACAACATGGCTTCACTGAAATGGTTGCGGGAATCAGAGTAAGAAATATTTGTGCTTATTTCTGTGTAGCCAGATGGGATTATCCATTAATTTTCAATCAATTCTTACGATAATACAAGATGGTTCACGACATTGCAGCTTCTAGTGGTTTACCTTTTGCAAGAGGCAAGGCTGCTGTCATTTTGTCAGACTTTTGCTATGCTTACAGTATCTTCTTTCCCTCCATTTTCTGCAAAAACGGAACAACACTCCCTTAGATCAACCTGAATAACTTATGTGTGCAATTGTTGCTTATACTTTCAGATACAGATAATTGACATTGCATTCTGTGACATAACAGTATTTCTTACTTATCTACATATTTATTTTACTTATTTAGCAGAGAAATTAAATCCCTTGCACAGTAGTTTCCTAGGTTTTGATTTTTAATCCCTTCAACCCACTGGAATACGATAAGTAATTGTTTAAAATACTACATTTTTTCATATTATATTTCACTCAGTTCTTGTTCACATTTCTGTTATGTACATTTCTTTTCAGAGCTGGATATTGAGGACATGTCAATTTAGTACCGCCTGCATATTGAAGTAACCTTTATTTACTTAGCTAAAAGACTGTGTGAGGAAATTTACAGTTGTCTTTGGAGTGCTGAATTCTCTTGAAATTAAGCCTAAATATTTGATTATATTTTTCTACTTTAAATATTTATTTTATGACAAGAATAGATGCAGTGAATGACAATTAAAAAGATTACCCTTTTCTTTCCTCTTTAAGTTATCTCTATTATCCACTGGCATTATTTTCCTTCAATCATTTACTACCTCTTCCCATTTTCATGACTTCTCAGAAACTGTTAGTAGCACAGTGAGCTCACTAACTTACTGCCTTGACATATTAGAAAGTATAACTATATAGATATATATAGATAATATATCTCTAACTATGTATAGATACATAAAGTATTATTTGTTATTCTCCAATAACACTTTTTAAATTTTAAAAATTACATTTAAAAAAGGCTAAATTATCTTATACTCAAGTTTTCAGTGTTACTTCACCACATCCAGACACACTCTGAAACACAGAACAAGAGAACAAGCAAAACATGCATTAAGAAATTTGTTATGTAGAGTTTCTGATATTTATCCCAGTTTGAGTGATTTCTCTCACCATATTCCTTGTTATGTTGAGGACACATCTGCTTTCAGAGTCTGTAGCCAATAGTACAGTTATCACTGTAATATGCAGCAAGCAGAGAAAATGAGAAATCAATAGGTTAGTCTAAAAAAAAAGTTTAAAGAAAAAGTAGGTAACATGCACGTTTTAAAAATCATTTTAAATCTGACAAAAAAGCAATCAAGACTGTTAGGATGTTGATATAGTTCAATTCCACTGAGAATCTGAGTTGTTATAATCTGTGCATGCTGAAGCTTGTGAACGGCAAACCACTGTATCAAAGAGGCATATGAAGAGGGTATTACAATAATCCAGACTGGATGTTATAAAAAACAGGAATCAAGAGCTCAGCACCCTGTGGAGACAGTAAGCTTTAATCTTTACTCACTACTAAATTCGTGAGATGGAATTAGGTACTTATGACTCTCAAAGTCTTATCATGTGTACTGAGCTGAAAACAGTAACTTTTCTGTTGACATTATTTAAACCATGTAAGTTTCTACTTTGCTTCAATTAAATGATCTTTAAGCTCCCTTTTTATATTGATTGGGATTTCTCAGGCTATCATTCATAACTCACTCAAATTTCCAGCACTCAGGTCAATGCAATTACTTTTTTTCTTAACTTTCTATCAGTAAGACACTTTTAAATAGAACTGACAATAGTGCTCCTAGAATTATTTGGTCAAAACAGGGTAAAAGGTCTTTAAAGGAATATTAACACTTCTTTTTGTATTAAGATTATAGCAAAAAAACAGGTCTTCTCTTTTTTTTAACTCTTTCCATGATGCCACCTGAAGATCACAGACCCAGCGTGGTAACTAGAACTTAACATAGTTAGGTCAATATGTAAGGAGGAAATAATTATAGACTTTAATAGCATTTGTATTTTTCCCTGAAATTGTATCATCTGGTTCTTTGAAAATCTTAAGTGGCAATATTTTTCATGTTGGATTACCAATATTGTTCAACAGAAAGAAAAAAAAAAATCTTCTATTCTCTTAGACATGCCATATCTTAAGAACGATGCACAGGTTTGTATTGCCTAGTTCCAGACATGAAAATGTGTGATTCCCTGAGCGTGAGCTAAAACTTAATTTCTATTTTATTTAAAGGGAGAATTTAACAAAAATATAGCATAGTAAAGCTGGAACAAAACTTGAAAAAATTCAAGTTAATAGATGACAGAGAAAAACAATCACAGACAAACAAAAAAGTGAAAAAGAGATAGAAATAACAAGGAAAAACCAATGAAAATTCTGATGTTCCTAGCATCCATTTTTGCAGAAGCATCACTCACATGTTCTGCCCTAGAATTAAGGAGTTCTCTATTTCTGAATATTGTAGACATAGTTTCAGCAAGGTTAAACTTAAATTTCCCATGATAAACAATAGATTTATAAGATAGAGAGAAAAAGCAACACATATTGTTTTTATGCTGTCTTATAATTGTCATAGGTTTACTTATTCTAAAAAACCAAGCAGGGAATTTTTCTTTCCCCTGCATCACTGTAAAAGAAAGATGTTGAACGAGGCAGGTGGAAGGGGTTTGCCTACGGTAATTGACACACACAGAAGAACTAACTAGCAGGCCTGCATTCCAGACTGTCAGAAGACTGGGGGGGTGGGGTGGTAAGTTGTTCTTTCCCTCTCCTTGGGAAATGACAATCACTTCTCTTCTGCCCTGACACAGGGAGTGGTGTGAGTGGAAAGACTCCGAGGTCGCTTTGTTTTTGGCCTGGTCATCTGGCTGCTTTCTGGCTCCAGTTTGCCTTCGTTTTTCTGCGCCCTCTTCTGCCCCCAGTCCAGACCTGCTCGAACTTCATTGGAGAGGTTTGACCCACCTGCAGAAGAACCTTTCGGGGAGGAGGTAGCCCTTTCTTTCCTCCCCTCCTGTGTTAGCAGTGGCATGGTCTGTTGACAAAAGAGGGGAAATCCTGGCCACAGCCAGCTGCAGACAGCTTGAATTTAGTGGGAAAGAGCCCCCTTTTTTCCCCCCTTTTCCCCTTCCCCTTCTTGGTGGGGGGGAAGATCTCCATTTTTGGCTTCTACCATGTGCCGGGGCCCCCACGTGGCGACTGCCAGGGCCCAACAGCGCCCCCTGCTGGCCGACACGGAGCAACTGCAGGCTCTGCTCCTCCAGTGATCCAACAGCGCCCCCTGCTGACCGTGGTTAGAATTGCTCCAAAAAGGAGAAAGTTCTGAACTGTTTCCTTTTGAAGGGGACTTTTGGGTACAGGATTATTGTTTAGTTGTTTTTGTGTTCTTTTGTTGTTCTACCAATACACATATATCCTCTAATAAAGGGCTGTTATTTTTTCTTTTTCCATACTTCCTGAATTGGAACCTCTTAATTCTGGATTTACAATTGCTTAGAGGAAGGAGTTTGGTCTTCCTCATAACTCCTTAGCAAAACACTTTAGTCTCATTAAACTGAGACAATTATGTAAACCCTTTTCAAGTGGAAAAAGAGTGGGAGGTTTAGGTTGGTTGGTTGTTTTTTTTAATCTTAGGAGTCATTTCTACAATATTTCAGGATATTTTTTCAGTTTCAGTTTTGTTTTAAATACTAGAATAAATTGAGAAGTCTCCACAATGTTTATTTTGCAATTATTTTAAAAATGAAATGCATTGATCAGCATGAAAAGTTGTAATCTTTTTACTGAAATATTACACTGTCTTCCAAAAATATTGAGAACTCTTTTCATCAGCTCTAAAGTTAACTGTAAGGAATATACTTTCTAACTTTTTGCGATGCACCCCAAACTTTGGAAACATTTTACATGCTGACCAGGCAACAGAAAGATACAAGGCAATCATATCACTCAGAAGCTGAGCTAAATGGTATTTTCCTTTTACATCACTTTTTCCTCAAAAATGCACTTTCAGAAGTGATGAAATGAGAATACACTACTGAAACACTATTTTGAAAAACAGAAATGATTCAACAATTGCAATAAAAACCAAAGAAATCAAGCACTACATTCAAAAAACTGCTATAGAATGAATATGGTATTTTTCCTCATTTTCCTCAATATCCCATTGGTTAGGGTATTGTCCTATGAAATAGAGGATTGTGTTTCAGATCTTTTTTTCAGGAGCTTTTACTCATCATATTCCACTTACCAGACAAATGTCCTAGCCTCCACATTGTAGTTATTTTTAGTTTTGGTATCTGACACAATTATTATTTAATTAGTTCATACAAAGTTCCATCAGTGCATTTGTGATCTAATGTAAAGAATTATGGGGGATCACCTCACACAGAGGAAAGATATGAATTCAAGTGGAGTTTATTTTTAAAGTTTGTGTTAAAAAGAGTGAAAACAAAGTTCCTTATTTTTCTTCCTTCTGGAAACTTCATTTTAAAGATATTTTTCTTGATTTTTCTGTGCTTTTTAATTTTTAGCATGTTTCAAGATTAAATATCCCATTTTGGGACACATGAAATTAGACTCACAAATACTCATGGTAGCTTTCATTAAATTGCAGAAGCTGCTGGTAGAGAAAAGGACTTTCAGTGCTTTCAGTAGCTCTTCTGTTATTTCACAATGACTTGAAAACCAAGCTTACTGCTCTTTAAAGCACTTTTACACCACATGTAAAAGTATGATGAGCAAAGGAACACTGCAAATGTTCCCGTATCATGTAGAGGGAAATATCAGCTATGTTCTTCCTTTATATAGTGAAGGAAGGTGCAGATTCCAATCATCAATGGCTAAAAAAGATATTACTGTCCTTTATTTGTTCATATTACAGTTCAAAATTCAGCTTAAGTTCTGGAAGTGAAAAGAAACCTCCATACAGTTGCAGCTGGTACTTTGTTCAAAGGTAAAATAAATTCAGCTAAAACAAATGACTGCTGTTGGCAAAACAGCAGCAAACACTGTTTTGTGACTTCTCCAACCCCAAGTATGAGGGCAAAGTTTTCTGATGCTGGTCCCTGTTTACCAGGCTGTAAATTATGTTCTGTGCAATGCCTGAACCAATAATCAAAAAAAATATCCAAAAACCACCAGAAACAATAACTTTGAAAACATCTTGTACTTTGTTTTTCTACTTAAAATAGCATTGCAAAAAGTTAGAAAGTGTATTCCTTACAGCGCCTCAGCCATTGGGCTGCCCCAAGTGTACCCTGGCTGGGGGGGGATTGGAGGAGCCCTTGGGTGCCCAGTGTCAGAAGGGCAGCTTCCGCAGGAGGCAGCAACCGGAAAGGTTGTTTCTGTAGACAGTACTGGAAGGATTCTAGGGCCTATGAGTGGTAGTGCAGCCTCACAGTCTTGGTGCTCAGAATATCTGTGTCTTTCATTCACTCCAGTAAAAGCAGTTTGATTAGAAGGCTGTCTCTTGCTCTGAAAATTTCTGCCTGCACTTCTCATGTTACGCACTAGCAGAACTTATTTTCAACTAAACACATAACTTTGCTAAATTAAATATTGGGTTCCTATGGTTTAAATGTTTTGTGGGAATTAGGCTGTACAAAGGTGGTTTCTTAGTTTGCAACAGAGATGAAGGTCATTATTATTCGTTGTGAATGATGTGAGTTACTCATAGTCTGAGGTGAAAAACTGGAATAAGTAATATCTCTGTACAGCAAGAAACTATTAGATTAATGCTGCAACAGTTTTCATTTGTTTTACTTTGTTCCAAATATATGCTGAATAAGCAAGCCTAAAAGCCTCTTGAATGTTAAATGCTGGATATTTAAAATTATTGCTGCCACACTGAAGCAATCAATTAGATCTGCTGATGCTGCTCCCAAATTCTCTTTCACCCAGTGCCATCCCTCTGGAGCGCACAGGTCCTCTGAAACCTACCTCCCAGCTCTTGCACTGTCTGTGTCAGCCTGGGTGCTGGGCGCAGCAGAAACCCTTGAGCATATAGAGGAGTTGAGGCTTCGAGACCCACTGGAAGGTTTACTGAGTGCTGAACACATCTGAAGAAATAGACGCAAATTTTCCTTTCTGGAAGAGAAGAAATTTATGTTCATTTATTTCCCTTGACTCAGACAGTGGAGGAGAAATTAATTTCTGATGGAGATCTTTATAATGAAAATCAATATTTTTGGTGTGTCCAGAGTATATCCAAACAATAGATTTAATCCTCAGAAATTATATACTTTTATTTTTTGTCATCTTTCCATTGGGAGTACTGAGGTCAGAATTAAAACTATATATTTAAATGCCGTTCGGTCCTTTGAGAGGTACTATTGCTGTAATACTTGAGTTGCATGGATTTAGTTATTCTCCTGGAGAATCTATCTTTAAAATTAAATACTTCCATGCCTTGCAAAAAACCCCAAAACTAAAAAGTACACATTTATTCGACATGGTTACTGTCTTTTCTGAATATCTGTAAAATAAATAAATACATAAACAATTCAATGAGTTAAGAAGGGCTATCCCTAAACAAGAAAAATGATTGTTGGAGAGTTATTTCCAAGCAGACTATTACTGTGCATTTATTCTTAATTGCCCTCTGCTATAGGTTTCATTACCCTGCCAGCTAGAAATGACAACCTGACAGCTCTGTTGTTTCTCTAGGTCAATTTTATCTCAGTTGTTGAATACTCAAACCTCATTAACTTGCTGCCAGGCCTCCAGAATTGCATGGATTGCTGTCTGCAAATACAAGCAAGTAATGAGTAGTTTTACATTAATTTTATTGTTCTGATGAGTTTAAGGGGAAAAAAACACAGCTGGACATTGGAAAACGAAGCAGTTATTCTGGGTACTTGAGTCAGTACTTAATATATGGGTAGTATTTGAGAGTGATTTTTTCACATATAATAGATTTTTGTTCTGCTAAAGGAACTGAGTACATTTTAAAGTCACTCAAAAATTTTGGTCTTTATCTGGTCTATTTCTTTTTTGTTGTTGTTGTTTTACTTTAGAGCAGCTGGATTATTAGAGCTTCTTCTGTTGCTAAATCATACCTCACATATGTATCAGTAAAAATAATCTAACCTGGCAACAAGTGTTCTGTAGTGGAGTACATGTGCCCAAATAAGTCTGTGTTTATGCTCAAGGGGATCCTCAATATTATTCTATACTCTTTTGCAATTGCTCCTGAAAGTCGTCAGAGTTAAGTTTTTATATAGCAACCAAAAGTGACTGAAAATGTATCCATGACTGGCAAAGGTGGAATGTGGCTGTGCTTTATTTGCCTTACTACATCAACAGAAGGAAGAAGTAAAAAACCTCCAGTAAAAGCTTGAAGGTGAAGTATCCCAGGGGATTTAACAAGACTTATCACACAGCACAAAATAATCATTTGGATGACTCCTTCCCTTTCTCCATGGATGTATTCATCTCTCCAGTGCCTATTGTACAGGATATAAAGTAGCAAACCCTACAGACACCTCCCCCTTGAATATTATTTGGAATTAAATGAATTTCAAAAGAAAGTAACTTTCAACTTTGGTGCCTGTGTATAGACTAACCATGCCATAAATTTTAGTTGTCAGTTTGAATACAATATAATTTGGTGATATTACCAGGTGTTTTTCTCCATTAGCATCATATTGGCTGGTGAAAGCAGAGCCATGAATGACATTATAAGCCATCATCAGCACATTTATTTTGGTTTGTTTAATATAGAGAAACTAAAATAAAAATAAAATAAAATAAAGAAAATCTTTATACTGGAACTCTTAAACTTGCATTTCAACCACTCCAGTAACTATGGACTAGGAGTCTTGTCCCTAAGTCACAAAAACTACAAGAAGATCACAGATAATATTTAGGAAGAAATTGTGGGGAGGGAGAAGAGAAGTATGTGTCCTCATCTCCAACTTTTTTCCTGATCAGGATTGAGGTGCCTTGGCAGGACAGTAAAAGAAAGCTCCAATATTTTACTGCTGAACTGTACATGTCAATGGCTACAAACAACACATCAGCCATCAAGGCTGTAAATCCAGCACTTATGCAGTAAAGGGAACAACCACATATTCACATTTTGTTTCCAAGGTGATGATAAAAGATATCAAAGCTTTCCCCTAAATAAATCAAGGTATCCTTGTG